ACAGAGAGGATGGGCTACATCAGTATTTAATTTGTCTTTCAAGTAATTATTTTGATATGAAGTTAACTAAATTTAAGTTTTTTACAGTTAAACACATGGAACATTATGGAAGCATTTCTACTTTTATAATTACACTGCTTAAAGTAAAAATAGTAATAAGGACAGTCTATAAGCTTATGGAAAGAATGACAAATTGATAACTTTAGCAAAACTAAATAAATTCACAATATATCATAATATATTAAGAAAACTGCGAATGTGTTCTGATATTTCATAAAAGGAAATATGAATTCTTTTTCAGGTCTTTTTAAATTTTACCTACGAAAAAGGAGAAATGCTCTGACTCATTCTCTCTCTCAATCTTATTTCTTGTTTTCTTTTAAAACGTGTCTTTCCCAGAAGTCTGTGTTTTACTTCCTCTATTACTTTTGTTTTGGTTTGAATTTTAATTATTTCTGATGAAGCCTGGTGTTCTGTTTCTGTTTTCTTTGTTCTGTGGTGTTTTTGGTCAGCCATTTTCTCCTAGCTCAGTTTCAGTTACTTGCTTTCTTTTACAGTTGCCCCTGTTCCTAATGCATCACCTCCTTTTTTAAAGAATTGCCTCTCCAGCTGAAATATCACTCAGTCCTTCCTGTCTCCTCTCTTGTTAGTTTTTCGTCATTTAATAAATCACTTGTTCAAATTTTTTGTCCTCCCACAACTCGACACATGACTACATGGCGACCATTGTTCTTTCAATTAGGTGTTTTGATCTGATCAAGTATTCATGCCAAACCAAACACAATCAGGTCACCCAAACCACAAAACTCTTCAGTGTGGACGTTTTCACTTTAGGAAGAAGACTTTAGCTAGCTATTTATTTTTTCAGGACTTTAAACATTAAGTTAGGAAAGAAAATGTGCAAAGATTCTATGAAGGACAGTATTTTCTACAGAGATGTGTGGTCTGTTGAATCAGGCAATCTTCTGGATAACATATGGTGAAAGGAAGGATCTATGCAAAAGTGATGACTTTCAAGTTAATGGTAAGTCTGCTAAGTGCTAATATTAAAAGCTACAGCCTGCTAGAAATGCAATCTGTCTTATAAAGGCGATGTTATTTAACAGAGAATAAACAATATAATTACATATATAATTCATACAGGTATACATACATATATAATCATGCACTCATGTACTGTTGACTTCACGATGACCATTTACTTATATGAACTAAATTCTTTCAGGCTAAATATCTTTTTTTCTAACTAATTTTGTCTTGGTAAATTTCAGCTTTCATCTATTGATACTCATTTTCATGTTTTTTAACTTGCACCTCATTATCTTTCCAAATTGCATCAACATTCACATAGACATCTTCATCAGTGCTTTCTTCGTCTTCTTCCGATCTTTGTTCTGATGCTGCGTAATCCTTTACACCAACACTGATTTGTCTTAAATCAGGGTCTGCTTCCTCATAATCAGGATCATCATCACTTGTTGACTCTTTGTCCATCTCCAGCTTCTTTACTGAGCGAAAAATGTCAATATTTTCATAGTCATCACAATCATTCTCGAGGTCTTGTGTGTTTAACTGCTGGAAAGTCACTGAAAAAAAGGAAACAAAAGAATTTATGAATAAAATGTAGAAATAATTTTAAATGCCTGAGCTTGTATCTCTTGAATACAGACTTTGGTTTTGGTCAGATGGTATGGGCCGTTTAGAGCAAAGTTTCCTCCTGCAGCCCAGGCAGACTGCTAGAGACACCAGCAGGACCAGCAGCAGGATTCCACTGGAGACTGAGGAAACCAGCAGCAGTGAAGAGGCTAGAAGAGAAAATACTTGGTCAGTTTATGGCTCTAAACCTGTGTTTTACAAACTTTTCCAGGCTGAGGAAGATTAACCTATTTAACCAATAGTCACAGACCATCTAACTTGAAATTACCCAGCAGTAATACATCTTAATATATACAACTTGAAATGAAAATATTAGACTCTTACACTTGTTTTTGTTTTCTTTGTTTATCCATGCTGTTTAGTAAATGGAAATGGCCACAACAAAGCAATGAACAAGTCTACTGGGCATTTTGAGTTATTTTGTAAGTGTGAAGTACGGAGGTGGCAGCATCATGTCGTGGGACTGTTTTACTGCAGGAGGAACTAGTGGAATCCCTAAACCAAACGGCACCATGAGGAAAGAACATTGTTTAGAAATATAAATGCAACATCTAAAGAAATCAGCCGGGAAGTAAAGGATTATTGGGAGAAATCGATCTTCCAAATGGACAATGACCCAAAGCATACAGCCTGTGGTTACAACGTGGCTAACGGACAACAAAGTCAATGTTTTGGAGTGGCCATCACAGAGCCCTGATCTGCATCCTGTGGAGAAATTGTGGTAAGGTCTGAAATCTGAGGCGGCCTACCAAAAGGGACTCAGTTCTACCAGTTCTGTCAGGAGGAATGGGCCAGAACTCCATTAAGATACTGTGAGAGGCTTGTGGAAGGAAACTGGTCTGGTGAAAACCAGCTCATTATCCCTGTGTGTGCGAGGACTGAGGTAAATGGTACAAGTGATACGGGTATGGGGTCAGTTGGACCCCATTTGTAAACACAAGGGTTAAACTATAACTGGCTTCGTCCAGAGGTTCTGGGCTCTCAGCTGCTGAGAAACAATTGCTTCTGTTGATTTTTAAGTTTTACCCAATCACTAACCAATGCATTGCATACATCACCAGCCCGTGACGTATGCAATGCACCAGTTCCATGCTAAGAAGCTTACAGTGCATATAAATTTCTGATTTCAACTGTATTTAATTAGGGACTTGATTGCTGAACATACAGCAGATGGTAGATTAGAAACGAGATGCAGCTGAGAGGGAAGACAAGTAGCTTAAATAGAAATGAGGAAATGGCTGAAAATACATGGGGAACGTGAGAACTGACATTTAAACAAACCAGAGACACAACCAGATCTTAGTTTGTGGGGGAAATTACTTTATCATGAGAGGGCATATGTTATTTTTTTTGTTTGTTTTGTTATTTGACAACTAAATTTGACATGCTTAACTAATAATAACAATAATAATAATGAGAGTTTAGAGGAATACATAATAAGGTATTTTACTCAAGGTTTTGAAATTTAAATATTCTTCTCTCAAATATACACAGTATATATACATATATATATAGTTACTTACATTTGATGATGAGAGTAATGGGTTCTGCCTCATCAGAACTGAACCTCTGTGTAGTCATGGTAACCTCATACACACAGCTGTAGTTGCCCTGGTGTACAAACTCAGCAGCTGGGAAGTTAAAGGAGGCTGAGTTGTTGACTGCTGGCCTGGTTTCTGTGATGTTGGACCCAGAGAAGATGAGAGAGAAATCTCCCTGAGGATATGTGGGGTTAATGGAGCAAGTGAAGGAGAAGCCGTAACCCTTGGTAACCTCTGCTCCTCCTGGGCCCCAGACCAACCCTGCATTTGGTGAACTCAGGGAAATGTTGGGTCTTTCCAGACTCACTGTGAAAAAAAGACATGGACATGGAAATAGAATAATATTATTCCATACCATGACCATTTGAGAATGCAAATTATGGATTTTCTATGGATAATTATTTAATCTTACCTCTAAGATGAACAGAGTTACTGAGGGGGGAGGTGGATGTTTTACTTGACATCCTTTTCTCAAACTGACACTTGAATTCTCCATCATGATCCAGGGTCACTTTAGGGATGTTGAAGGTAGCAGAGGATGAATATGATGACCGAGTCATTCTAAATGATCCTGAAGTCTGTTGGAGGATAAATGTTCCACTTGAAGAGGTGAAAGTTGTCGCGGCCATAGAACAAGTGATGCTGACTTGTTGACCCCAGGTGACCTCAGCAGAGCTTATAGAGATGCTGGGCTTTGGAAGGTTATCTGAAAAACAGTAAGTTGTGAGAATTAAATTGTATTCATTTCCGCAACTGAATGACACTGAAAATAATAATCTTTTACTGAAAGTTTATTTATTTTTTTATTTATTTTTGTCTCTGGTGGAGACAGTGCATGGCAGCTTCACCTCTGTCAGACTGACCACATGATGAAGTGTCATGAAAATATTTAAATCTGTAGAGTGGAAACTATAAACCATCTCAACAGACTCACTGAAACACAGTACATTGGAAAATAAAGCATACTAATGATAAACAAGGCAAAGATCCATCCATCCATCCATCCATCGATCCATCCATCCATCCATCCATCCATCCATTTCCTGACACCCTTATCCCATTGAGGTCAGAAGCTGCACTGGTGACTATCTCCAGCTGTCAACGGGTGAGATGGTCAGGCGACGCCCTGGGCGGGTCGCCTGTCCATAGCAGGGCAAAGATTCATTCATAAGTAATTTACATCTGAATTACACAAAAAGAAATCACCCCAATTCTAAAGTCCTTCCAGTTAGGTGATCAATCACTGAACAACTTAGCACCATAAAGATCTGCTGCTGTTTCAACCTTCCAGATCTCTAGGTCTGTATGATGTGTGTATTGATGATCTTGATGATGGCAAAATGTAATGTTTGTTGCTGATTTCTCAAGTGTTGACTGTATTTAGTTTTATGACTTCTTCTTGTATTTTGACAATGTAAAACACTTTGAACTGCCTTTTCCTGAAATGTGCTATACAAATAAAC